TGTCGACTCCAACCCACCGTTCATACTGCTTTATCGTCTTAATCCTCGGAATCGCGCATTGATGATGGGTCACGATGTTAATTCCCTCATCCTTGAGACTCTTACATGTTACATAATTCATTAATTCTAATTCCTTGGAGTTACCAGTTTTATAGAAAACAGCTAGCCATTGGTTTTCTTTCGTCTACTCTTTTTTTTTTCTTCCTCTTTCTATATTTCTTTGTTGTGATATAATATTATTATTTTGTAGCTGTGGAAAATGGATTGGATTTATGAATTCGTGGATTGGATTGATGGATTTATTTATCAAATGAATTGGTTGATTGAATTATGGATCAAAATGACATCTAAATATTGAATTGAATATACGTACCAATAAATTCTCAATATTTCTTGAATTACTCTAACTTTTATTAAGAGTAAACATTTTATTTAATATAAAATTATATAATTTTTATCCTCATTAAATGTTAACAATCACAGTTACCAAACCACAAACATTTTAACATCTTTTTTCATCCATCTGAAGAGTTTAAAAATTTGGATTATTTACCGTGTATAAATTTAGGGTCCGATTCTTCACACGGCCCCTGAATCGTATGGGTGGGTTAGATACAAAATTCACGTCTTAATCATATTCGAGATTGCACAAAAACAGCCCTCTCCCAATCTATTAATTAAGTATTAACAGTGGGATAGAGACTTTAGGGACTTCATCTCCTTCCTCGGATCCCATCAGCGGTGAAGTTCACCATGCAGACTAACTAATCAGATGCAACACCTTCTAATCATCTAAAGAGAAAGCAGCCTATGCTTTCATATGAAAGATGTTGACAATAATTAGGTTTCCTACACTAAGGAGTCATTTGGAGAAAAAGATTTCAGCTATGGATTAACTGAATCTCAAGATCCTTATGTTTTTTATTTTTCTTTCTTTTTGTAATATGGAGTTAATTTAACGTACGTATAAGTAAAATCTCGATATTTTTCAAATCACTCTATTTTTTAATGGGTTAATTGCATGGTTGGTCACTGAGATTATAAAAAAATTTCATGTTTGGTCACTCAAAATATTTAAATCCATTTTTGGTCATTAACTTTACAAAAACCGTTCATTTATGGTCACTCTCCGTTAGCTGCCGTCCAACGCCGTTAACGGCGTCCGTTAAGTGATGACGTGGCTGACGGATTCGCCTAATCAACACCTTTTAACCCGAAAATCGACTGACCCGACCCGCCACGTCATTTAAACCCTCCATGTCAGCTAAACCTAACCAAACCTCTAACCAAACCAGATCCGACCCGACCCGACCCAACCCACCAACAAAAACGACCCACCCGCCACTAAACAAAACCTAATTTCTAAAACCCAGTAGGTCGGGACGGTGACGACGGCGCCGGCGATTGGGGACGGAAGACATGTCCTGCTTCTCGGGCGGGCTCCGTCGTGCCCTGCGTCGAGCTCCTCTGAGGGCAATTACAGGGAGAGGTCTCGGAGTAGCGTAAAAGTAACAGCAGCAAGAGGACCAAGAAGAGGAAGAAGGAAAGGACAGATTTGGCAAGGTTCTTTAATCCAATTGGAGGGAAACCTGTTTCGGTGGTTACTACTACCAAATCCATCTTCAGCATTTCCCTCTATAACCTTCTTCATAGTGTATGTGAGACCGATGTGAAATAGATCAAAGTTCGTAGTTTAAGAAGAGTGCAGTCAGGCCATCCAGACTGGAGTGCGAAAATACCAAGTGGGGTAAAAATCAATTCCAAAGGAGAGCTCAAAAGTCGAAGAACAAAAATTTTGGACAAAATTTGACACACAAAAAGACAAGAAGTATCAAACCAGTCGACACTAGTCCACTAACACGCTCGAACGCGCCGCATACGACGACGAGGCCAGAGCTAAAATTGGTGCTCGTTCGCCATGCTTCTCAAACAGGCACTCGGTAATATGCACGGGCAAACGAAAATGAGGAATAAAATCACAAGCTATTGGGCTACGCTTCATATAAAAGCTGCAGATTGCCTCAACAATTTTGGGGGTCTGGTCTGGATTTGGAAGGGCGGAAGGGAGGAAGGCGGCGGCGCGTCGGCGAATTCGCGATCAGAAAATCTCCAGGAAGAAAAACGGAAGGGAGGAAGGCTGTGCGGGATGGAGGCAGTCTTTGATTAGGGTTTTAGTCAAACAATTTTGGGGGTCTGGTCTGGTTTGGTTTTAGTTAGCGGGTCTGGTCGGGTTTGGGTAGAGGTTTGGTTAGGTTTAGCTGACATGGCGGGTTTAAATGACGTGGCGGGTCGGGTCAGTCAATTTTGGGGTTAAAAAGTGCTGATTAAGCAAATCCGTCAGCCACGTCATCACTTAACGGACGCCGTTAACGGCGTTGGACGGCAGCTAACGGAGAGTGACCATAAATGAACGGTTTTTGTAAAGTTAGTGACCAAAAATGGATTTAAATATTTATAGTGACCAAACATGAACGCTTTTTGTAATCTCAGTGACCAACCATGCAATTAACCCATTTTTTAATATTATGGATAAACATGTCATTTAATATAAAATTAAAAATTTTATTTTCATTTATTGTTAACGATTACAGTTACCAAATTATGTAGTATGACCATTTTAAAATAATTTTTCAACAATACTCATATTCACCAAACCATGCTAAGAGCTGGATGTTTAAGCTTTACTTCGTACCTTTGAGATGTTTAAGTAATAGACTTGGATATTGGCTATCAAACACAAACAGTAGTATTATGAAGCATAGAAGCTTTTACATCTTCTGCAGGACCCAATTTCTTCCGTTAGGGCTTGGCTGATTAAGCTAATACCCCTAATTTTTCTTCATTGGCCCCTAATAATTGTGCAATGGGTATGTTTCCAGGGGTCTTTGGATGGAAATGTTATCGAAATACTAAATTCTTCTGCTTAGTGATTGTTTACCACTAAAAATCACCCAATACCATATTGATTATTTTTAAGGAGTGGTAGTGATTTATAAGGTCAACTTAACTATATTAATTAAATTGATTTAAACTGGGCCTAAATGATGATATTTTGGGCTTCATACCAGATACCTCAACACACACCAAACACTCACCCGTTACGCAAGGGGGGTCAAGTGCCAAGCGTTGACACCCTTCAACATCAGCCACCCAAGTCGTGGAGACCCAACCACAAGGGGGGTCATCGCGAGTACCCCTAGTCGTGGTGGCGACCCCATAGAAAAAACCGTTTTACGGACTTCACCAGGGAGGACCTCAGCAGTCAAACTGGCATTCATGGCCGAAGTAACACTGCGAGAAATGGGTAAGTTCGCCGCCCGCTCTGTTATGTTGGGAACTTGAGTCTCTGAGGTAAAGAGGTTCTGATAACTTTGACTAGCAATATCTTCTTTTCCATTTTCCTCAGTGATCCATTCCTCACTATCGTTATGAAAATCGACCACAAAATTTCTTTTTCTACGAGCCCGCGTAACCGTATGAAAGTAGGAAGAATTTTTATCCCCCTTTTTCAACCATCGGACTCTGGATTTTTGCTGAAAGTATACTTCCTCCGCCTCCCACTAGCAATTTAGCTCCGCTTCAAGGCCTTTAATCAATCCCAATCAATAGGCTGAATCATCTTAATCCGATCAATCTCGGCCTGGAGAGTCTTAATGTTACGCAATGAGTTCATAGTACCTACCCTACTCCAGTCATACAGCAAGTGGCGCAACTTCTTAAGGCGTTCCCAAAGTCGAAGCATAGGGGTTCCTTGTATATCCTCGGCCCAAACATAATTGACCATGGCCTTGACCTCTGGATTATCCACCCATAAGGCATCAAACCGAGAAAGGGGACGACTATTCCGAATATAGGATTTGTCGGAAAAGAGCAAGGCTCGATGATCAGAACCTTGGTCCGTAAAATGTTTAACCAAGGTCTCTGGGTATTGATCGATCCAGGTATGGGAGTATAGAGCTCTATCCAGCCTCTCACGAATGCAAGAGCCACCCATACGCTTGTTCGTCCATGTGAATAGATCACCCTGGTACCCTGGGTCGTGAAGACCTAAATCTTGAACAAAGTTCCGCAAGCTGAGAGATTGATTAGCATTCCACGCTAAGCCACTATCCTTTTCACTCTCTTGAAGACTAGTGTTAAAATCCCCCATGACAACATAAGGTTGATGGATATTATCACAGATTTCCTGCAGCTGAGCCAACTGAGCCGCCATTATTATAAAATTACAACTAATGTAGACAAAAACCACAACATAAGAAAAGTCCACTTCATTAATTTGTACACAAATACAGAAGTTGGAATGAAAAAAATACCGAAGCGTCAACCCCGGGGGACCAAGCGACAACTAGACCTCCTGATGCATCAATAACATCAATAAAAAAAATGAGAAAGATCAAATCCTAATCTTCGCATACGGCGAGACACTACTCTCCGGCTCGATCGTGTTTCAGAATAAAACACGAGATCCGATTTATTGGAATGAACTAAACCGACAGCAGTTTGGAATGTGAGGGATGGTCCAATTCCTCTCACATTCCAGGCAAGAAGCCTCATTTATTCCCTTGGGGCCACTTGAGGCTGGCTTCCTCCACCTTATCCAACATTTCAGCTGATTCCACGAACTGTTTCTTGGGCGTTGGAGGGTCACCCACCTCCCCCACCACTTGATCCAGCGCCCGCTTTCTATTCCCAATTACTAGGTCCAACAAATTAGAACCATACTCATTCAATCCCGAGCTCGAGCCGTCATCGATCTCCTGAGACCGCCGCATGGGAGCATCCCCCTTCAACTCTCCAACTACATTAGGATGGCAACCACTCTCCTCTTGAGAAATATTTAATCCCGCCTCAAATGCCGCCACCACCTGGTGCACCCGACCCTTAGTGACTTGGCGGGTATGCTTGGGAGCACCAGCTGAGGATCGCAGCTTGATCTCAAAGGATTGAACCTCCTCCGTCGAGTGATAGCTGTCAGAATCAAGGGAATCCAGGAGCTCCCCATGCATGACATCATCAGATTCCTCGAGGGTCGCCTTGACTTCCTGGTCCGAGCCACCTTTTTTATCAACCGCAGGCTAACCCGGGGAGTTGATTCCAGCTGCTGGGTCGCACAGCGCATGGGGAGGCCTCCTGCTTGCTTCCTCGAACTCACCGTCTTCACCACGTCACCCTTCGCCAGGCCATCCTCGCGTAGCTGCAGGGGGAGAACACCTGGTTTTGGGGCAGCAGCTGGGAGATCACTACCACAATCCATCTCGTCTTCCTATGAATCTTCCTCCAGGATGAGACGGCGACGACGGGTCTGTTCAAGTACCTCCGCGATCGGATCCGCCGGCACCCGAGCTTTGGGATTGTGCCTTGGACGTCGGCCAGTAGGAGCGTGAGTCCCCTGACTCCTCCCACGATGGTGGGAATCCGCCCTAGGGGATCCTTGTCGTGGAAGCTTCCGTCCGATCTGAAGCCGAGGCGATGCCCTAAGAGGAAAGCCCCTGGAACTAGCACGTCGCCCCGCTGGATTGTCCACTAAGGCACTTGATGTGGGGGACACCTCCTTATTAACCAAAGATGTTATATCAGCTTGTGATGGATAGCAAAAGGGCGCCGCAAGTCAAGCTGCTCTGCATGCGTTGATCGCGTATCCCACTGGCGAGTGTTCCCCATCCACCCATTCCCCTCCTGGTTCTCCCGAATGGTACGGTTTACCCAAACCGTCTTCCGGGCATTTCGAACATTGGAGCTATCTTCCTCATTATCATACAGCTTCCTACCAATCTTCTGTGTGGACATGAGCGGACCAAAACGCTCCTTGCCTTGCGGGGAACCAGAGACACAATCCCGTTAAGAGTGCCCCACTTCCACAGTGGTAGCAGAAGGTGACTAATAATTCGTACTTTAAATTCACCCAAAAGCACCCTATCTCTTCGCTCACCGCCATGAGTTGAGAGCGTAATGGCTTGGTGAAAACTATAAGAGCTCGCACCTTCACGAAGCATTCTTTCGTGTCCTTAGAAGCGAAGACATCTGTCTCCACGACCTGGCCGATAATACCATGTGCTATTTTTTTACCAAACTGTTTGGTACAACATTCATCTCGCACATTCCATAGTTGGACAAGGAATGGAGCAATGGCCAAGTCATCAAAGACTTGCTTCGTGATTGTGGCTGTCCAAGGCCGGAGGTGCAGAATTTTGTCCAACACCACCCACGTTGTTCTTTTCAGCGGCCAGGCCCTTGGCTCTTCGTTGGGCAGAGTGATCTCGAATAGCCCATGTTTTGCGATGGTCACCCGCAATTGTCCCTTCATTTGCCATGGCGCAAGTAGCGCAATTAAAATTTTTAAACTATATAAGGCTCCCCCCACGCCCGCCCAACCGACGCGGAAAATCTGGGAAGAATCCTGATCCAACAACCCCATAACGGTTTAGCCTTGCCGGATCAGGATTGGCGTCAACGGACGAATCCAGCTGGCCGTCGGCGTCTTCCTGTAGCCCGCGATGTTGTGTCATTATCGCCGGCCGAAACCGCGACGCTAGTTCATGGTATTTCTCCCCGTAGGGTAAGCTGCGAACAACGCACTTTTGAGTGCTATTAATTTCATCGAAAGCAACCAGGTGCTTTCTTTTCCGTTTTAGTCTGAGCCACCCAGCAGATCGACGACGCATCTCACAAAGATCACGTTTCGTGGCGGGGTCTGTGAAGGCAAGGCGGTTTCTATCATCCCTGCTTAGATTTGTGATTATTGCCCATCCCTTTCTGGGAAAGCGATCACTTGGTTTGGATCGAAACCAGTCCGCCTCTTGGTTATTCAAACAGGCGGTGAAAATGGCGACGATCATCCTCGTAAGCCATCGGTCAATCAAAGAACACAGAACCAGGAGAGAGGAGAGAGCACCTCTCATACTTTTTTGCTCTCTCCTTCTCTAAGTACTTATTTGGTGATTTGATACTTCGACTTTCACATTTTTTATTATTTTAATTGTATTTTAATTCTTGATTTATATTTGAATGTATATTATAAACAGAAGATAACTTTAAAATTACAACCCATATATCACTTGGTTGAATATTGCATATAAAATTAGAGTATTAAATAGGTCGAAGCAATCTCAAAATTTTAAATTAGTATTAATTTTTTAGAATTAACTATAAAGAAATAATATCCTTACTGGTTTTTTTAACGTTTTAGCCGAGTTAACTGCTAAGCTTTCAACATGTTCCTAATTTGGCATGATTAGATCCAATGATCATTGTACGAGATTGAGCTTAATTATTGGTTCATTTCACCATTTTTTGACATGTTAATGAATTTCTAGGGCAATGGCATAGGTCTACGTCTAAACACAATAGAATATATAAGACTGGAATGAGAAAAGTATTTTTCACGTTTCATATTCCGACAATGAGAGCGAAAGTATGAATGGTACATTTGCCTTCACAATTATTAAAATTATTTATTTGTAGAAAATAAACAAGTATTGGAATTTGAACAAATGCATCTTCCAAAAAAGATAAGAATCATAAGCCTGATTGTCAACCCAAGTTTGATATGGTTGGGCGAATCAGTTTGCCCAAACCCGAGTATTTGTTAGGATGTTGGAGGCCTAGTTGGTTATCAACCCAAACTTGGTCAAACTAAGAAAACCAGTTGAATTAGGAAATCGAGTTCATTCAACTAACTCATCTAAGCACTGAGTCACTTCAAACCGACATCATTTTCAACAAATCTAATCACTAGTTCTGTTGACATGTCGTCCTTTTCCTTATCAAAGACCCATGCAGCAACATACATCAACCACCCGTGTTCGGTTATCCCATAATATCTTTTCCTCCTTTAGTATCGGCAGACAACAATACAAGTCCCAATCATCTCAAAAGCCAACACAATTTCTCAGTAGTCGATTCCATTTTCCTTCCAACAGCAAGGTCACATAGCCAATCAACCACATCTCAAACAAAGAATAAGCCACATGATTACGAACATATATTTGGAATGAGACTTGGTGTGATTAACAAAGACCAATGTCATCATTTGTATATATACATGAAATCGAACTGGAGAAGAAGAGTAAGAACATTGAGAATCTATCTATCTATCTATCTATCTATCTATCTATCTATCTATATATATCTATATCTATATCTATATCTATATCTATATATTATGGTAATTCAAAAAAAATATCTTTCCACATAAGCACTTGGATGATCCACAATTTGCCAAGTTGGACAACTTTTTTACAAATAAAAAAATTAGTTATTAATGTATTTATGAAGCTACCTCTCTCTTCTTTAATATTTTCATTTCTTTTATGCAATTATATTTTTTATTTTTTCATTTATTCTTTTTGCTTTAATAACAAGTTACATATTGATAAACTTAACAAAACACACATAAATAATAATAAAAATTCAAGTAAACAAAATATAAATAAGAAAACGGAGAGTGACATTTGTTCAAATAAAAATATATGATTTAAACCTTATGAAGTAAATTTTTTACTCATTTTTAGTAAAGTTGAATGATAAATTATATTTTGATGAAAAAATTACACAAACATACACATATACAATAATTTTTTTATCGATTAAACAAATTATATATGAAAAGAGAGAAAGTAAACATTTGACATTCAATTACTTTTGAAAAATAAACTATATTACTTTATATTTTGTTGCAATGAAACACTCTCTTATTCATAAAGTATATGTCTATAAAATAAAACAATTATTATTTAGCAAAATGTTAGAGTATAATCTTGATCGAGTAGTTACAGTTATTTATTTAAAAAAGAAGTTTATTCATTCAGATCATGTTCTACCTTAAACTCCTCAAATGAAGAGGAATTGCATGTGCAATAATTTTATAATGTGTCCTAAGTTCACATTAATAATATTTGCTCTATATCATTTTTGATTGAGCAAGTTCTATTGAGGTCCTAAGTTGTATGCTAAGAAATTATAACCTAGGCATCATGTTTCATCAAGTTATAATGTGTCTTTGTCGAGAATCTACGATAAGCATCATGTTTCATCAATTTATAACCTAGGCATTTACCAAATAAAGGTTAACAATTTTTAGTAAGATAGTCAATTGGGATAAACATATTTATCCAGCAATCAAGTATTATTATCCAATAATCTCAACTCTCTAAATTGGTTGTCATTTCGCCCAAACTCGAGAAACACGAATTGATATATGTTGTATAAGATAATAAGTTAATGCAAATAATCAAATGAAATCCATCGATACTGTTCAAATGATAAGACATTTTAAATGCACTTGAAATATGTGTTTATCGCAGACACTCTTTATCAATTATTAATATATAAGTGATAAAATCTTTGAAAATTACAAATTCAACGACCATGTTAAGACCGAAATCCTCGATAGTGTGTGTGAGTGTCTTATATTGAGATTCTAAGCGAACATATAAACAATGACCGTGGGTTGAGGTTTAGTCTAAACTTCAAGAATTAACAATTGATACATATTGTATAATATACTAAATTTAAGTGTCTTGATAAAAAAATAACATCCAAAATGGAAATGAGTCGAGATTAGAGAATTTAATCATCATGAGGGCTACAGTGTGTGTTAAGTTTCAATATGAGTGAATAAATTGATCCAATAATGAAGTATCTTTACAACATTGGTCGAGAGTTCGTCCAAACTCGAGGATCATGAATGTGTATTGGATTTCTAAATGACCTAAAATCCCAATTCCTTTCTAGGGCTAAATACCTCTGATCACAACCATATGTGCCAAAAAAGAATGAAAAGAAGCAAAAAAATCAAAAAAGAAAATAACCTCTGATACGATGAACAGAATAAACCATATCGAGCTATGATCCTGTCATCCCTTCTCTAAATCTTATACCCCAAGACAATTTAATTAGAAACAATGATCGACGTTTATGATTCGTCCAAATATAGGCAAAAAAAGAATGCACCATCTTAGGATTTATAGCTTATGATTTAGATAATTAGGACCTAGGATTCACTCATTAAGGGTTAGGGTATATTATCCGGCCCAAAAATCCTGCTAATTCGAGGTTTAGATAGCATTTTCATAGTCAAGGTATGCGGTACCCAGATCTCACCCGGGGTACCGTAGAAGCCCCTCAATATACTTTTGATTTTACTCAAGATACGATAGAAGATAGTTATGACGAAGTATGTGGATAAATTCGAGGTTAGAGAATTAGGGACTGGAGTTCACCTATTAGAGGTTAGGGTATAATATCATGCCCCAAAAACTTTGGTTGATTCGGGGTATAAATAGTAAGACTCAATGGTCGTATGGTAGTGTGAACGCAAGAGTATAGTGTATTCCTGGCGCAGGCTAGCTTGAACTATATGTGTGTGTGGTTCAGGTTGGCGTATGCTAAATATTAGTGTTTTGGTTGACAAATTTTGACATAAGTTCTAAATGGGATGTGACAATGACATCATTTATGTTTAGAAAACCGAAGCATCACAAGTGAGTGTGCTAAATATTGGAAATTTTCAGTATAGACATACTACAAACTCTATTATGAATCAAGAACACAAAATATTTAGAAAATCCAATATGATTTAAACATAAAAATAAGTTAATTGATATAAATTATACAATAAATCTCTCCGGCCAACGGGCCGGGTAAAAAACTAGTGGAATATGATATGCAATGAAAGAAGAAAAGAAAAAACTAGAGAATGAAATGGAAAAAGATAAAAAGAAAGAGGGAAGAGATTTAGAATTTAAGCGTCATTTTAAAGCATAAGTTCCAAGTGAGAGAAAAGTATAAAAATGAAACTCAATTTCAACGAATAAGTTATATTAAATTGTCATTGTATCTAAATTTATCATAGAAATTTCATAAATATCTAAGCATAATACATGTGAAATCAATAAAATTTTCATGTACCTGTGTAAAGCTAGGCTTAACCAGGTTAATCCAATTCATCCATTAATCCTTAACCCACTTGCTTAAACGACTCATTGGTGGAATCGAGCGACAATCTTGGTCATAACAAATTAGACTGAATAAATTAATTATATATTTTTTAATTGGTTATAGGTATAATATACTTCTCTATTTTATCTATATATTAAGAACTCTATTATTCACTAATGCATTCAATTTCAGTTTCCAAACATATTTTACTCAAATACTTTTATATAACAATGAATGACTCCATAAATTCCGATAAGTTTTCAATGAAAGATTAGATGCAGTTAATTGATTTATGAGCTCAAATATACCTCCATACCACTAAAGCTACAATCATTGTGATTTTTAGTTGTTCACTCACCTCTGCCAATGTTCACAGATTCATATTTTGCTATAAAATTTAGATAAAGAAACTTTAAATCTCACACATTTAAAAGTAGGAGATAGAAACTATGTAAATAAGTGATTGCAAATTTACTATTTTGAAACCCAAAATTGAAGGAATTTAGATAATCTCATTTTGCAGTAAATTAAAATGTCTTATGGGAAAGTGATATCTTAGCGTTGGATGTGCTGGTGAATGAATAACTAATGCCTAACTATGAATTGCAAAAAAAACATCCTTCCCAAACCCAATTTATTATCAGTCAAATCATATTTGGTAATATCACTTGAAGGTCATACCAATAAACGACTATTTAGTTTGAGTCTAAATTAGACCTATTACATTGGCTACCAATTTTTTTTTTTTTTTTAATATTTACTCTGATGTAATTTTTGCAAATTTTTTGTATGACAAATATAAATGTGGAAACACCGATAATGAAGGTGTAAATTGGTTAAATGTGAATAGTTAGATGGTCGATATTTCTTGATAGGTATAATTATATGGACTCAAATAGATTCAAATTGTGGGTTCGACCCAAATAAATGTTTTTCCGCTCTACCTCTGTCCCCCATTCCATAATTAGTAAATTAAAATAATCCGACCAACGGGTCGGGTCAAAGCTAGTTTACATAACAATACAACTAACGTTTGATCGTTCGTATCTAAACCATCTCAGCAAAGAAAATACTAACGGGAATCACCCTCCACCACATCCTTTTTAACATTGGTTTTTTTGTAGGGGTGGCAGTTCGGTTTCCGGTTAGCGACTAACCGGCCGGTTTAACAAAAACCGCTAGTTAGCGGCTAACCGAAAATCGTCAGCTAGCATGCTTCGGTTAGTGGTCGGCAAGGGAGAGGGGCTGTTTGGTTAGCCGAGTAACCGGAGCCGGCTAACCGACCTCCGCCCAATCCTTGCCATAAAACACCGACTCCCCCAAATAAATACATAACCTAACCCTAAAACTGGATCATCACTCATCTCCGCCGCCATCCATGGACCTCGGCCGCCTCCACCCTACTCCATCCATCGACTCTCCTCTCCCCTCCCCGACCACCGACCCTCCACAACGACCTGCTTCCTCTCCTTTTCCGGCCGCAGCGACGAGAGACAGAACAGAGCCCGACCCTCCGGCGACCCCACTCCTCCCCTTCCTCTTCTTTTCCCCGCCGCAGCGCGCCATCGTCCCTGACCCAGCACCACCGCCTGCTCTGCTCGCCTTCGCCCCTCTGCAGCAATTTCGCCCCCTCAACTCTAAGTTGCCGACACCCTGGTAACTAGCCGGCGCCGCGAGACCTCTCATCCCCTCATCCCCGACCCCCTGATACCTCGCCATGCCTCTGCCCCTATTCAGAAATCCAAACCGACAGTCATAAGTTCGGTTACCACGGTTAACCAAACCAAAAATTGATAACCAATCGGTCGATGGTCGGATAGCCGTGTCTCTCTCACGGTCGGTGATTGGCAGCCATGTGTGGTGTCTTGGTTTAATCAATAACCGAGAAATCAATTTTGATTAAACAGAAACCGACCGACTGCCAGCCCTAATTTTTTGAAAGGTCTGTGGTTGACTATAAGTTTACTAAGTTACTGACTGGACTACTAATTATAATAAGTTAACAAGTGAATAGTGATTAAGCATTAATTAATTAATATCCCTTAAACCGTCTTAAGCGAAAGAAACCTATGGAAAGTCAATCAATTGACGCGTGGGGTGGGCCGGGCAAAATTCCGATTTCGGACCCAATTGACCCAGCTCAGCCTGACCCGAAATCCGGCCTTTACTTTTCGTCCTACATTCCCGAAACTACCCTTTTCCCGTGGGATAAAGCATGGGTATTTCGGTACATTTGCGAGCGAAATATCGCAATTTCCGCCCGTTATAAATTGACAAAAAGGAATGAAACGGCTCTTTCCATCTTCCCTAGCGAGGAGAGAGAGAGAGAGAGAGAGAGACGGAGAGATTTATTCAAGAGAAGCGTATTATTTTGAGACAACTGCCACCAATTTACAGAGAGGCTTTCCTTCCTTCCTTTTCTTCTCTCTTTCCTCTTTTCACTTACTTCTGTGGATTGGATTCTCAAGGGATCAAAAGGGCCCTTTTTGATTTTGCTCCTTCTCTGTTTTCGATCTGAGGGTTTCTCTCTCGACTATTTCGCCGTGCGGCTCGCTGTGGAGGGAGATCGGCAGAAGCGGAGGCCAATTGGGGGGAAAGGGCAAGCCGTAGCTAGAAATCTGGGTCTTGGGTTTGGAGAGAAAACGGCTGAATTTGGCGGTGGGGGGTGAAAGCAGCGGAGATCGAGGAGGAGGGAAGGAGGAGCCAGAGAGCTGCTGGCTTCTATTTGCTGTCGTGTTGGGAGTGGGAAGTTGATCGCTTTACTCTGATTTGGTTTGTGGGTTCTGATAATCCATTTGTTTTTTGGTTTGGGGTGAGAAAGAGAGAAAGATGTGGTGGATGATGGGTGAGAATGGCGGCCATTACTGCTCGAAGAAGACAGATGATATATGTGGTGATGTTTGTGGTCAGGTAAATTGGTTCAAAATCCTTCATTTTGGGAATGAGATTTGTTTTTTGATTTATTTGCAAATTGCTATCCAGTTGCTCTTTTGATTACCCCAGCATTGTGTTTATGAGACAACGAAACAGAGAGTTTGAGGAATGTTGATGTGGCTTTGGATCTTCAATATTATGTACCTTTCTCATACCAGGAAGAAACTCAAGCTGCAGAGCCGTGGAGATTTATTTAGATTGTGAAAGTTCCGGTTTTTGGAATTTGTTCTGGTGGAGAATTAGTTTTCTTTCGTTTGTTGATTTACAGATATTACTAGGGGGTTTGTTTTTGAGATCCTTCCAATTTGGGTCTGTCATTTGCCCGTTAGAGGCTTCTTTTACTTAATGTCGCCTGCTTCTGTAGGTAACTGGATTTTTAATTATGTTTATTACTTTCTCTTGTTTGGGGACAAGAGTTGGAAAGATGAAGTGAGAAAGATGCCTAAAATTCCTTTACAGAGGGGCTAACTCCCTGCAAAGCAATATTCTTCAGAATCTCCCCATCTTTTCATGTAATTTACTGACAATGTTGATGCCTTCTTGCCTAACTTTTTCAGTATTTTTGAACTTTGACATGTGATCCCATCTTGAGTTATTTGTTTGGGTATACATGGCTGTAAAAAGCCTTATGATGAAAACATGCTTTGCCAGCCTTGATCTGAAATTGAACCTAGTTCTGAATGTGGGGTCCTTCCTTTGAAATTTGCAGGACTCTGGCAGGGTCTTGAGCATGTCAAGGATCAAGTGCATCCTTCGCGGTGTGGATTTGAGGACGATTTTGTTCCTCTTCATCCTTGTGCCTACATGTGTATATGGGATTTATTTACATGGGCAAAAGATCTCATACTTCTTGCGGCCACTATGGGAATCACCACCGAAAGGCTTCAATGAAATTCCGCATTACTACAATGAGAATGTAACAATGGAGAACCTGTGCAAGCTCCACGGCTGGCGGATTAGGGAGTTCCCAAGGCGTGTCTATGATGCAGTTTTGTTTAGTAATGAGATGGATATCTTAACACTTCGGTGGAAGGAATTGTACCCCTACATAACTCAGTTCATTCTTCTGGAGTCTAATTCTACATTCACCGGGACCGAGAAACTCCTCTATTTCGCCAACCATCGGGACCAGTTCAAATTTGTCGAGCCAAGGTTGACTTATGGAAATATTGGTGGCAGGTTCAAGAAGGGAGAGAATCCCTTCATCGAGGAAGCATATCAGCGAGTCGCGTTGGACCAACTTATTAAGGTTGCAGGCATTTCAGATGATGACTTGTTGATAATGTCGGATGTCGATGAGATTCCAAGCAAGCATACTATAAATCTCTTGAGATGGTGTGATGACATACCTCAAGTCCTCCACCTACGGTTGAGAAATTATCTATATTCGTTCGAGTTTTTTGTGGACGACAGCAGCTGGAGAGCTTCTGTCCACAGGTATAAGATGGGGAAGACAAGGTATGCACACTATCGCCAGTCGGATGACATATTGGCCGAAGCCGGGTGGCATTGCAGTTTTTGTTTTCGGCGTGTGAGCGAGTTCATCTTTAAGATGAAGGCTTACAGTCATTTTGACAGAGTGAGGTTCAAACGTTATTTGGACCCTGAAAGAATCCAGAAGGTGATATGCAAAGGTGCGGACTTATTTGATATGCTACCTGAGGAGTATACCTTCAAGGAAATCATTGGGAAAATGGGTCCTGTTCCTCATTCTTATTCGGCAGTTCACCTTCCTTCTTACCTTTTGGAGAATGCTGATGAGTACAAGTTTCTCTTGCCCGGTCATTGCATGAGAGAAAGTGGGTGATTCTGGTTTTCAATTATCCCGACATTTTGTTGCTGTAAAGTTGAGTTGGATGTCGAGGATTCCAGCTCATATGTTTGAGAACCGATGGATTTGTCGCTATTACCGCCATGCTGCAATTTAGATATCCCCATCTTGAGGTGTTTGGATTGCTTGCGGCAGATTTGTGAATGATCAAACATTATGTATATAGCCTTTCTTCCGGGTTTGAGCTTGATGACAGGAGGTGGTGAGTGGAGTTTGACCAAGGCACAAGAAACTTGCTGCGATGCGAACAGTCTGCTATAATGTTGTTTACAAATACCCTTGTGCCTGTGTAGTTATTAGAATTTATATGAAACATGGATTCTCCAAGGAATGCTGGAAACAATTCGTTGTGAGGGTTTCACTTGATGATGTCCGCTTCATGGAGGGGGGAAATTTTGTGTTGGAAACATTTATTTGATGATGTGTCATTAACTCTTTGATTCATGATTATATCCGGATTTTTGTTTAGATCTCTAATTGTGTCGAGAGTACGGACTCCCACTCTTCCATACCTGTTTCCCTAAGTTACAGACTTACAATTACAGTGGTCTAATTACTAGGTGGCCAAGCAAGCATCTGCGAAATTTCGCAATTGTTTTTTCCTCCTATTTGAGAAAGATCAAACATCAATGAACCGAACGTGGTGGCAAGATCTTGCTAAGATTCCATCACTGTACAGACTTTCTTATTGTTGCGGGAGGGAGGTTACAAGGCAGGCTTCTGCCTTATTGTATGGAGTTTTTATGGTAAGACATACATATAGTCTGTAAGATTCCATGCGGCCCCAATATAATATTCAGGGACAACCTACTTTTGTTTCCAGATCAGACCAGGCATTTCCCTCTTGCAATTATTATGTTTTTATTTGCCTGTTTCTCTCGCTCTCTCCACCTGAAACGTTTACTTCTTGTATGCAAGAATGCCTGATTGCAGGCCAATCATTCTCGAGAATAACATTAGGAGTTTTGCTTCTCTGTCAGTGAATGGTAAGATTATTTCTCTTCTTGAACTTGGATGAATGGTTCTTTCTGCAAAATCAACCAGAAAAGTGAGAAGTGGTAGAGATAGATAGGTAGAGAGAGAGAGAGAGAGAGAGAGAGAGAGAGAGAGAGAGAGAGTTGGATTCTAGGGTATAGGTCATTTGGACAACTCCAACTCTCCAAGTGGTAGATAGTGAATCATTTGAAATGGTGATAAACGGGTCCATATGGAGAAGGGTAGAGGCCATAGAAACGGCATCAACAACTTTTTTGTTCTCGAAGAGGATTCCTTGAGATGATGATGTGATGCAAAAGAATCCAACTATATGTAAACATTGCAAGCACTGTTAATTAGTACCTTATGCTTGGGTATAGAATGCAGTCCTTGGATGGCATCTGTTAATTTTCAGAAGTTACAATGAGAAATCGACATGTCACCAATCAGACAATGCCAAATTACTTATTCAACAAAATGTCGTCAATCGGAAGAAAAATTATGGTGGTTTTAGTCCGTTAACTATATTGTTTAAACAAATACGTCCACATATTAGGAAAGATAAAGCGCGTGTGTGCTAAGCAATGATTCGATGCTAACTACAACTAATTCAAATGGAAATTACATAAAAAAATAACCTCTTTTTACACCACTAATTGCAGAAAATGGAGGGTACCAGAAAAAGTGGAAGACCTTTCAGGCCATAATGCCAAGGAATGGGATCAAAAAGTGTTCTTCCACATTGAAAGGTTTGGGAATGAGATGCATTCTTATCATCACACCTGAACAACGATTATGCCCTATAAAAAGGCTCCCTCATTCAGCTGCAAGACTCACATCTCAAGTAAGCATAGCCAACAATGATTTCAGACATCACACGCTTCAGTGAGCCCTTCCCCACTAAAATGAGGGGCTATGGTTTCCAGGAGGAGAGCTATTCAGCTCACGAGGAAGAGTCCTATCACTCCGAGGAAGAGTTCCACAGCAGCATCAATGGCTCTTCTGGTGGTATAAAGTTTTTCCAGCCTGCAAAGTTTCAATCCATGTCAGGGCATGATGCTGCAGACTGGAAGAGCAACAATAAGTTCAATCACAGTGACACCATGAACCACCAAAACGGCGGCTGGGGTGGTCATGATGCTCACCGGTTTGATCAAGGCCATGGCATGAAGCATCAGAATGGGGGCTGGAACAATGGTCATGATGCTCAACGTTTCGATCAGGGCCATGGGATGAAGCAGCAGTATGGTGGCTGGAATAATAATGGTCATGATGCTCACCGTTTCGATCAGGGCCATGGGATGAAGCAGCAGCATGGTGGCTGGAACAATGGTCATGATGCTCACCGTTTCGATCAGGGCCATGGGATGAAGCAGCAACATGGTGGGTGGAACAATGGTCATGATGCTCACCGTTTCGATCAGGGCCATGGGATGAAGCAGCAGAATGGCAGCTGGAACAATGGTCACCATGGCTTGGAATCTGCTGGTGGGATGATGAATGGCAAGTATGGGACTACTGCTGTTACTGCTGCACATCAGAAGGTGCAGTATCCTGCTGCTCACTCCTTCATACACGAGGAAGAAGCGATGACGGGATACAATGGTGGCCATCGATTCAGTGGCTTCAATGATAGCTTTGGTGGTGGCTATGGAAGGAACAATGGCTGCAGCAATGTTGATTGGATGTCCAAGGCGATATAAGTAGCTTCCTACTCACGGAAGGGAGTGGGGTCATGGCTTTCTTCACTAGTGATAATAAGTGCCTGTTTGGTTTGTGTGTCTTGTTTGATGGTCATTCTGCTGGCTTAGTACATGGTCTACTATGTTGGCCTCTTAATATGTGTACTGCTGTTGTCTATCCATAAGCAATAAAAGGCTGCTATTTTAGTGAATCAGAGAAGTGGTTTATGAGCTTTTATTCCCTTGTTTTAGCATGATTTCAGAAGATTGGTAACACAAGCGACTAGGTGGAATGCAACCCAATCAAGCATCAAGAGAGTAAGCTGTAGTGTGATTCTTTTGGCCCAAATTGGTTTGACTGATTAAGGGAGGGTGGTTGAAGGCAGATAGATGCCTTGAACACTAAGAAAGCCTGGGAAATGGTAGATTGATTCTTTCAACTTTAGGATAATAATACAATAATGAAAGGAAGAGCTCGGAAACGAGGTAAAAGCTCAAACTCGACAAACACTACGGAGGGCTGATCAACCGGTTTTGGTTTTCCGGTTGGCCGAATAGGTCAGATAGCTATTAACTATTCGTTTTTTTAGGTTGGTTTAACGATTTTTCGTTCTTATGTTATCGATTCAGTTTAATTTAGGTTATCGATTTCTTTGAATCTGGAACATGATTAGAAAAAAAGCAATGCTGTCAAAGCCGAGCCGGAGTATGACCCGGTAACGTGAACGGCTCGGTCATTAGTGGTCCAGTCGGCATTAGACCGTTTAAAAACCGTTTGAGAACCGGTACCTAATAAACAGTCATCTGTATAAATAGTAGGGTTTGGAGTACTCATCTACAAAAGAATGATCAAATCAGCAAATTTACAATGGAAAATCTAACACTACCATTCTGAAACTTCTAGAAGACAGATCTAATCGATTAATCCCCCAGCAGTCCATTTCGTAAGCAAACTAGCTGCCCCTATCAGCAAATCTCAAAATCTACGCTAATCACGTCAAGATCAGACAAACGACTACTAGATCCACCACTAATCAAATACCCAGTAAACCAATCGCCACCGACAGCCCAATAATACCCACACTGGAGAAATGCTAACATAGAAATCCCCAGAACCAACGGAAAGAGTGAAGAAGAAGAAGGGAGATGAATTACCCCGCTGTCGGATGGCGCGCTGCTTGCGGCGACGGGACGGAAGCACTGGGGCGATGGTTGACGGCGGCAGGGTGGCGCCGCTCTCCCTCTGTCGTCTGTTCTACTTCTAGGTCGAAGATGAAGAAATAAAATGAAAGTTAGGGTTTTGTTTGGCTGCCCCATTCCACGATTGACCTTTTTTTTTAGGGTAAACCAAACGGCCGAACCGTGTGACCGGCTTGAGCGGCTCGAGCGGTTAACCGCTTCGGCCGCTCGCCGACCGCTGTATAAAACCGTGACGGTTAAATAGCTGATCCGAGCCGGTTTTACGGCCGGGTGGCGGCTTTGGCGGTCCAGCCGGCCGGCTCGGTTCGGCTTTGACAGCACTGAAAAAAAGAGATTGATTCGAACTTTCCACATATGAATTACTTATTTGCTTTGTCCCAAATTTAACAAAACCTCTAACGTATTTATATTGTTAACATAATTATTTCATTTTGCTCCCATCTGTCGATTATTAACCATTAATGAGTCAACAAACTTAAGTGACATGATATAATAAATTAATGGAAAATTTTAATAAAGTAAAATAGATAATTACCTCGCATCCCCGGTCAAGCTAGGATGCATAATCCTTGCATAATTAAATGTGGACCTTTCTTTTTGAGTGGTTCTAGAAAATCCAGATCTAAGTAGAGGGAATGAAAGACATTTTATTTTTCCTACTTTTCTTAATTGACTTTTATCTTCTTCATTCTAACTCTGATTTCAATTTTTTTTTTAGCACAGATGGAACGAGTTCGCTGTGCTCTAAGTGGATCTAAAAAAAGCTGGGTGAAAATAAACACAGGACAAAAAATACCATATTATACCACCCTGATATGGGATTGGTATCTTCTTGTACGCGAACATACCATATGGTATGGACTGGTAAAAAATACCTTAATTTTTTTTGTTCCATAAATATATCAAAATGAATATCATTTAGAAGAGCACAATTAATGTGATCTATCTAAGCAAAAAAAAAAAAAATTAAATAAATAAATAACTGACGGAGCAACTGTGACGGAAGGTCTGGTAATGGGTCAAACTTTCGGCGTCGGACTTAAAACGAGAGAGAAATCGCTCATTAAATATTAAAGGGTAAAAGATGAAAATGCTTATATAGGAGAGAGAAGGCTACTGATGTGGGGGATTGGGTTTGGATTATACATAATTATGCACCACAAGGTTACTGATAAGATCCGTTCCCCGCCTCCCGTAGCCAGAAGGAAGTGAAACCAGTCTCCTTTGCAACTAAGGATTCCATATACATGAAATAAAAGGAACACCTTGTACTATGTAGTAACACATGAACAAGACAAGCACCACAACAAGCTGATAACTGAAACCTCCAATAGAAATTGTTGCAGATGAACCTGCAAAAGATGGCTTCCATGGCGCCAATCTGCCGAATCCTCGAAATTACAAAGCAGCGAATGGAAGCTTCTTCCAAATACCCCTTAATGTTGCGGTTCTGTAAGAGCCCAACCGACGAGCCATCCTCACTCTATCAACTCTACTCTCCGCTCGCAAACGAGTAGTACTCGGCCGATGCCCCGACCTAGCTCGATGATGCAGTCATTCACTGCTCCAACTATGGTTGGTTGCTCTTGGCAAAAGATGATTTCTTCTTCTTCTTCCATCCCTCCACCGAAAACAACATCTACTTGCCCGGTTGTTGCTGGTAGTGCAACGGTTGAGCTTCTCGGTGCAACCTACCCCTCCGGATTGTGTTGTCTTTGCAGAAGGTACCTAGATTCTTGCTCTGTTTCCACCACTTTCTTCCGATGGGGGGAAACTCGTTGGAAATACAAAGAATTCCCTAATAAGACGATGGTGGCGAGACAGAGCAACTACTTGTACCGCAAGAAATGTTCGTTGTTAGTCGTTGCTACAAGTGATAATTGCATTGGTGATAGTGACAGAATAGGCCGAAGAAAGACGTTCAAACTCGGTACCAATAATCGATGCAAGTGGTTGAGACCCATCCCTTGTCAGGCAGATTTCGAGTGGCCTAACTCTGTTTTTGCCCCTGTTTTTTTTTTTTTTTTTACAGAGGAGCTTTTTATTGCATTGACCAATACGGAAGGTTGGGAGTTCTCAAACCACCAATCAAGAAGCAAAAGAAGGAGAAGGAAGAGGACGAGGAGCTTTCTATGTCGTGGACTCTCCTCTACACTAAACATTGGGCTTTCGCGGCCGGCGATCACAGCGAGAGCTAGCTCATCCGAGGAGGAGAACACTTGATCGGTGTTGTGGTTGGATTGAGGGGTGAATCAATTAGGGTTCTCAAATTTAACGAGAATCTCAAGCTGCGACAGTGTATTCCTGACCTGAAAGGCTAGGTGTTTTTCTTGAGCTCCACGTCAAGTATGCCCATGTTGTGCAAGGAGCTAGGAGTCCCCTAGTTGGAAAACACCATTCAATCTTGCACGAAGAAGGAAACAATCAGATCCCGGGCACAAGCAGAAATGAGAAAGGGAAATAGAGTCAAGAAAGGGAGTAACGCGCGCCGAGGGGGTTAGCTTTACTCAGATCGACATCTATTATATGTTATTGATTTTGTCGTTCAACATTTAACACCCTAACACCTAACCCAATTGACTTCCTGAATTTGTTCCTAGTATGCAGGTGTGTTGCCCTAAGTGCGACAATCCGTACACACAAGGGATGGTCTACTCAGCACGATCAAGCTTGCAAACCCAAGAAGGCCGGCAAAAGGGAGGACAGACGAATTTGGCCAGTATCATGAATGCCCTGCGAGTTCGAAAGTAAGTGCAATCAACTTAGATATGAATCAAACTAGTATTAGACAGGTAGCCATACAGTGGTGATTGAAGGCAGTAGTAGACCATTTCAACTAGGATTAGAACAATAATTAAGGTGCATAGGTGTATTTCAGATTCCGATTTCAAAAGCTTGCTTTGGCTTTATTTGCTAGTCCAAAAGAGCAGGCACAACATTAATTCTTCACCTCTTACGGGTTAGTGTTTAATAAATAATGGTGATTAGTCATAATTGTTGGAGGGTAATAGATACGAATAAAGTAGACTTTGTGGTTGTTGATTAGCACTTATATGTGTGGTTGTGGCAAAATTGTATCCAATTCACCAACCCATCTACTTAAATATCCAACTAGTACAATCCATTTGAACCAAATCCAATGGGATTGATGGTTTGGATGATTCATGGATTGAATTAGTCATTTGTTAACAATTCACACGATTTAGGTAACAAGAACTTTATATTATGACATTTTAGTATAAAAAAATTCAGCATTGGTCTATTTTATAGATGACCCTTGGATCTATAATCCAATCAACCTACCTATTTGATTTAATCCGTGAGTCCATCAATCAAAATGTGATACAATCCACTTGATTCATGATCCACCAATGCATGAATCAAATCCATCTCTCACCTCTAGTTGTGATTGATTATCGAAATTCCACATTTGAACTAAGATGATGGAAATAGTGAGATTAGATATTGCATTCAATAGATCCTATTAGGTGTTGAAAACAAACACATTTGAATTGACAAGTTATCTTCTTGATTTACCCCATAATTGCAGGAAGTAGAGGAGGCAGAAGCAATATGGTTGTGGCTCAACACTTCCAGGATCAGAGCCTTTATCTCGTTTACATTTACTCTATTTAAACTTAGCTATGAGCTTTGTATGAGCACTGACCTGCATTTGGTTTGTTGAACGTTACATGTTTGTGGCTCAATACTTCCAGAACTAGAGCCTTTATCTCGTTTACATTTACCCTAGTTGAACTCAGTTTTGAGTTTTATATGAGGACTGTCATGCACTTGGTTTGTTGAACGTTATTTTGGTAGTTCGTAGCTGGTACATATTTTAGCTGATTCTAGTGACATTGCTAATTCTAACACTAACGCACTCCTTAACAACAAACAAAACAGTAGTATGAAAGAATTTAGATGATGGAAATATTGAGATTAGGTGTTGCATTCAATAGCTCCTATTAGTTGTTGAAAACAAACATATGTAAATTGACAAGTTATCTTCTTGATTTACTCCTTAATTGCAGGAAGTAGAGGAGGCAGAGGCAACATGGTTGTGGCTCAACACTTCAAGAACCAGAGCCTTTATCTCGTTTACATTTACTTTAGTTGAACTTAGCTTTGACTTTTATATGAGTACTGACCTACACTTGGTTTGTTGAACATTACATGGTTGTGGCCAACACTTCTAGAACCAAAGCCTTTATCTCGTTTACATTT